GAGACAGGGTCTTGCTAAGTTACCAAGGCTGGCCTCAAACTTGAGATTCTCCTGCCTCAGCCTCTCAAATTGCTGGAATTAACGCATGTAACACTGTGCCCCACCCCAACTCTTATTACTTGGAGTTCTTGAGAATTTTGCCCTTGATTTTCTCTGCACCTGTGAGTACACGTGCACACACACTCCTGGGGATACTGCGCACCCACCGTGACTTCATTTTGTCCTCGGGTAGATCCCTGTTCCACTGTTTCTCCTCTCCGAGGCCTTCCTCAGCTCCCAGGCGCTGGCCCTTGGCGGTTTCTGCAGTTCCCATTTACAGCACTGATTATGATGGCACATCTGTCCCTCCTTCTATATTGAAAAATTTCAAACACACACGCACACTGCACCGTGGGTGTGTGTGTTCCTGGGGTTGAACCCAGGGTCTCACATACGCTAGGCAGACACAGTGCCATGGAGCTGTGTCCCAGCATCCACAATAGTTTGACTACACTCTTGATAAGAGAGCCTGCTGCCACCAGAGGCCATCCTCTGCTTTTTTCTTGGTGATGGAACTCATCACTTAGCTGGGTATATAAAGCAGGTTCCATTTCTCAGCCTTTCTTGCAATTAGGTGTGCCTGTGTGTCATGTTCTGGCCAATGGGATGCAAAGGGGGGGCGAAGAGGTTTGATCCTCACTCTTCTCCTGCGGGCTATCTGAAGGTAGACCACACTGTGTAGTGAAGGCTAAGCTGGGAGACGGAGGAACCCCACATGGCTTAACTATCAGGACTGAGATCCAAAACCTCTTGAGTCAACACAACTTACTATTTGATCCCTAAAAATTATTGTTCAGGAAGATTTTATTAGCTTTTGACTAACCAATAACTAGCTTCAATGTTTGCATCAGGAAATTTATGAGAAAGAATTTATTCTAACAAAAGATTGCTCATCTTGGCAAATAACCCCACCTCAGCAGGACAAATTATTCTCCTGGGTAAACAACTCACTTATCAAACAACTAAAGTTTATTCTTCAAGACTCCAATTTTCAAGACGCGGTGTGTCCATCAGGCCTAAACAGTATATCCAACTCAGCCCATCCTGTTAGATCCCAGCACTGAGAGATCTGCCTCGGACACCGAGGCCAAGCCCCCCACGCCTGCAGACACGGCCTGAGCCCAGCACCCTTCACACCAATGGTGTCCCCAGGGGATGCTGAGGTGGTTCCCCCTCCCTATTGCAGCCAGTTCCAGGACCTAGCTTTGCTCCATCAGCCGGTTACTCTGGTGGTTTGTAGGGGAGGTGGCAGTTGATAGTGATCCTGGGGGCCACTTAACAGCCCTGGACTTCATTCACATGAGAGGGACCTAAAGTTCTATCTCATCAGGACAGTTACTTTGGGTTCTTGGTCCCTGGTGGCTGCTAGCACACGTCCCCCTGCCTCCTCCATATCATGGTCATCTTTATGATTCACACCGCGGCCACCATGTAAGAGCACTGCCCACGTGTGAAAAGCACAGGACTAGATCTCTTTGCTTAACTCTGGGGCATGTTGATCTGTGGAATTTCTTGTACATTTAGATATGAGCCTGATAAAACCAGTTTTAAAACAATCAAGTGGGCCAGGAGTGTAGCTCAGTGCACCTACTTAGCATGTAGGTTCCAGTCCCTAGGCTCTGTCCCCAGCTGCCCCAACACAAACACACACAATACCATAAAGTATACATCTAAGCAAGCATTGTTTCCTTCAACTTATTTACCTTAGGAATTTGTTCATCTATCTTAAAATGACTTTTGTAATTACATCTTGATTTGGATCCTGGTGGTTGACAGACTATCTTTTGTTTAAAACCCCTTTGTGGTCTGGGGCTGTGGCTCAGTGGCAGAGTGTTTTCACCTGGCACATTCGAGGCCCTGGGTTCGGTCCTCAGCACCACATAAAAATAAATAAAATAAACGTATTGTGTCCAACTACAGCTAAAAAATAAATATTAAAAAAACTCTTTGTATGAATAATTTCAAGCATATTCAAAAGCGGAGAGAATAGCCTAATGAACAATTATCACTTCAGGACCATTACCCCAAATATTTCAGTGTGTATTTCCAAAAGATAAGGATGTTGGGGCTGGAGCTGTCACTCAGCGGTAGAGTGCTTGCCTCCTACGTGTCAGGCACTGGGTTTGATTCCTAGCACCACATATAAATAAGCAAATAACATAAAGGTCCATCAACAACTAAAAAATATATATTAAAAAAAAGATAAGGACGTTGATGATGGTGGTGGTGGTGGTGTTGGGGACAGAACGCAGGGGAGCTCTACCACTGAGCCATATCCCCAGCCATTTCTGAGACATGATGTTGCTAATTTGCTGAGACTGGCCTTGAACTTGTGATTCTCCTTCCTCACCCTCCTGAGTTGCTGGGATTACAAATGCATACTACCATGCCTGAGGATAAGGATTATTTACTTATTTTTTTAATATTTATTTTTTAGTTTTAGGTGGACAAACATCATTTTATTTTTATGTGGTGCTGAGAATCGAACCCAGTGTCTCATGCATGCTAGGCGAGCGGGCTACCACTTGAGCCACATTCCCAGCCTGGATTATTTACTTATTTATTTTGGGAGTGGGGAGATCAAACCCAGAGTCTTGCATATACTAGGGAAGCACTTTACCACTGAGCTATACCTCCAGCCCAAGGCTTCTTTAAAGACTTTAGGCATAATTCCATTATCTCACCTCAAAATTTGTAATAATTTCCTAATCTAATGTATTCAAATGGCGTTTACATTTTCTTGTTTAATTTTTTTTTTTTACTATTTGTTCAAAACAAGATGGAAATAAAGTTCATACGTAGCAACTGGAGGATGATTCAAGTCTGTTTTCTTTAAAATTTTTAATTGAAGGATAGTATACACAAAAAAAGAGAATACAAATCTAAGTGTACGGCTTGATGGTCTCCCCAATCTCTTATACACACACACACATACACACACACACACATTTTAGTTGTAGGTGAACACAATACCTTTATTTAATTTTACATGGTGCTGAGGATTGTACCCAATGCCTCACATGTGCTAGGTGAGCGCTCTACCACTGAGCCACAATCCCAGCCCTCCCCAATCTTTTTTAATATACAGATTGGACTTTCTCCTCATTTATTCTTTAGAATTTATTGAAGAAGGGGGCTGGGGTTGTGGCTCAGTGGTAAAGCACTTGGCCTCGCATGTGTGACACACTGGGTTTAATTCTCAGCAACACATACAGATAAAAAGAATAAAATAAAGGTCCATCAACAACTGAAAAAGAAATTTAAAAAAATAATTTATTGATGATGGATGTCTGCTTTGAATTCCCAAGGTCTCCATTTATTGGATTTGCAATAGTTTGGATCTCGAATGTCCCCCCTCCCTCCAAGGGTTCATGGGCTAAAGGCCTGGTCACCAACTTCTGGCAATACAGAAGGTGGCAGAACCTTTAAGAGGTGGCACCTAGTGGAAGGAAGTCAGGTGACTGGGGCTGTGCCTTTGGAGGGTATATAGGGACCCTAACCCTTTCTTCTCTTTTTTGCTTCCTGGTCACTTTGAGATGAGCAACTTTGCTCCACCACATGCTCCAGTCGATTGTAATATTCTGCCTTGTTGCAGTCCCCAAAATAACAGAGCCAACTGACCACGGACTGAATCCTCTGATACCCTGAACCAAAATAAACTTTTCTTCTTAAGTTGATTTTCTCAGCTATTTTGTTACAGTGACAGCTAACTAATAGGATCATTTCTCATGGTGTCATTTAGCATGTTTTTCTGTTCTCTAGGTCTTATAAATTGATTATTACATCTAGAGGTTCAGCAGACCAGGTTGGCATTTTGGTAAGATTGTTTCAATAGATGCTGCTGGGTACTATAACCAGGAGATTCATTGTACCTGAGCAGTCTTTTTCAGCAATGTTTTTCTTTCTTTTTCTTTTTCTGCTTTTGCAGTGCTGGGATCTACACCAGGGCCTCACCACATGCCAGGCAAGCACTCTGTCACTGAACTACGTCGCTAGTGAGCTGCTTCTTTCAAAGCATCTTTTGATCGTTGGATGTCATTTCTACACACAAGCAAAATCCATTCAGAATGAATCTAGCAAGTAACGTGGGTGATCGAACAGAAAAACGATGGTATGAGCTGAAAAATAAGGTTGATCACGTAATGACTGATTTACTTGTGTAGCTGGTAAACAGGCCCTGACGGAAATTCCAAAACTGTTCCGAGCAAAGGCAGCCTCAAGTGCAGCCACCCAGGTGACTAATGTGATCGGAACAACAGTGACATTGATGGAGAAATTGTCTGGTGCTTATAAAGCCACTTTTCTATGTGGGTGGACGTTCCAGGCATCCCTTTGTAGTCATTAGCTCCCTTTTAAGGACCCCTGCTTATCTCAGTGTGTTGCGCTTCAGTTTTGGAACCTGAGCTGGGGCGGCTGTGCTCTTGCTGCCACGCGAGACCTACCTAGCAGCCCACTGAGGACGCTCGTCGCCTGTCTTAGCTCCAGCCCACGGCCTGCCACTAGAGTCGAATGCTGCTCCTGGGTTCCACCCAACCCCTCCCCGGGCCTGGTGTTGGCCTCTTGTCCATTACCCGCCAGAATGTGGTCGGGGCACTGTCGGGTGCCTCCTGCTCTGGCCAGTCAACAAAAAATGAGGAAGGCCAGGAGGAGCGCCGGAGGCAGGCGCCAGCCCGGGGAGCAGCAATGCGGGAGGCCCGGCCTATTCTCACGGTTCACAGACCGCCCGCCACAGCTCCGCGGAGCTCCCCGCGCCGCACGAAGCCCCTCCGGCCCCACGCCACGCTGCCGGCTATAGGCGGAGCCCCGCCCCTCTCCCGGTCCCGCCCCGAGAAGCAAATTAGGCGGGGCCACAGGGCTTCTGGCGAGACCCGCCGTGCGTCAGGACCGACGTCTTCCCGAGCTCCTCCCACGCTCGCTGGCCCCGAGCGTGCGCCTGCGCGGTTCGGGCCCGGCCCGGGTTGTCACCCCACCCCCTCCCTAGCAACCGCCGCCCGCCCCCGCCCCGCCCCCGCCCCGGCCGCGTCCGCGCACGCGCGCCGCTTTCGGCACCCGGCCCCGCCCTCGCCGTCGCCGTAACAACCGCTCGAGCCCTCGCCGCGCCCCTCGCAGCTCCCGCCCAGCCCCCTCCCCGGAACCGGCGGTCGAGCGGCAGCCGCCGAGCAGTGGAACTGCGAAGGCACCGCGGAGCCGCCGGCATGAGCTCCTCCCGCCGCCCCGCGCCCCGGGCTCGGCCTTTCTGACAAGAGGTAGGTGCGCGTCCCCGCGGCGGGCTCCGAGCGCGCCCCCGGGCGGCCCCGGGACGCTCCGGCCGCCTCCCGCCCGCCCGCTCCGAGCCCGCGCCGGAGCGCAGCCCGGCCCCCTCCCCGAGCCCGTCCTGCGGGAGCCGAGCTGCGGCCGCGCTCCTGCCGGCCCCGGAGTCCGCGGCGCTGGCCCGGCCCGGCCCGGCCACGCCGATTGTCATGCAATAGAGGCAGCCGGGTCCCGGACCCCGCGCCGCGCATCCGAGCTGGCGCCCGGCGGGTTCAGGGAAGCGGCGAGTTGGCGGGTCCTCGGCTGGAGTCACTCCCGGCTCCGACAGGCCGGGTCCCAGCGGACGGGCCGACGGTTTCCTCAGCGAGCACCACCGTGTCTTGCATCCTCTCCCTCCCCCGACCTCCCCCGGCAGTCGTCCTCCTCTGTCTGGGAGATACCGTAAAATTAATTTTCCCAATTAAAAATTTAAAAGCTTATTAGAGCCCCACCGTGCACCGGCACTGAACGGTGTGCAAAGTGAATAGAACGTGGTCCCAGCGCCCGGGACGCGTCAGCTCCAGGATCCAGATGAACGCAGACTCGGAGTCGAGTTTGCAGAACTCAGAGTTTGGCTCCGGTTATCATGATTTTAGAGCTGTGAGTGTTTCAAGATCATCTTTCCCAAACCTGGTTTTATAGAGATGGAATTAGGGAGGGCAAATGGCTTGCTGGAGGTCACCCAGAATTATTCCCTCGCAGTTTTCCGACTGTCAGATGGCTTGTTTTCCAGCATAACCTGCTCCTCTGAGAGATATGCCAAATAAGCATACCAGAGGAAGTTCCAGGCCTGTTTAAAGTAATGTAAACATGGTAGAAATGCGGTAATATAGAGAGCAGTTTTCTGAAATAAAATCCTCATAATGTCTTTTTTTACAGCTAGACTTTGGGATCCTTGAGGCTATTCAGCTATGCACTTTTGAATATCCTCTCACCATATTCAACATAACATTCTTAATGATTATCCTCAGCAGGACAGGTAGGCTTATTTGATTTATTTTTTCCTCCTCACTTTTCTCTTCCCACTTTTAGTTAGGTGAGTAGAGTCCCAGGTGTGTTTTCAGAAACCTCCAGTGAGGCTGGCACCAGAATGATTTTGTGCTGGAGGGGGGGGTTCCTTGGTGTGTGGGTGAAGCTTGAGCAGGGCTCGAAGCCTCAGAGCCATCACAGCTCTTCCAGGCTGGAGTGTTCAGGGAGCCCCTAGAACCGCAGTGCTCAGCCTCCCTGTCGCTTGAAGACTGATCTCTGAAATTGTAGTATACACAGAAGACAGGACATGATGAAAGTGCTGTTTGGGAACCAGCATTTTGAGGGGTACTCCATGATTTGAGATACATAGTATTTTTCCCCTGCTTTTTTGTGTTTTCCCCAGAGTTGAGTAAGACGTTAACCATTTTTTTAAAAAAGTTTTCCTAGTTATACATGGACACATTATCTTTATTTTGCTTATTTGGTTTTACATGGTGCTGAAGATCGAACCCAGTGCCTCACATGTGCAAGGCAAGCGCTCTGCCACTGAGCCCCAGCCCGATGATGACCATTTTTATTTGGCTTTCAGTTGAAGTTGTTCAAAAGAAAATAATTGGACTAATTGAATCCTAGCATTTTCTTCCTAGGAAGGACTAGATCATGGAACCCAGGGCAGGGCCCAGCTACACAGATGAGGGCAGTGGAGGCCTCCACCCTCAGACCAGTGTGGTTCCCTTGTTCCCTTGGGCGTACTTTGCCTTTTTTATTGTCTCACTACCTCCCCTGCCATTGTGTATTTCAGTGTCTTTCGATTTATGTGTGCATAGAAGTATGACTTATTGTGGTCCCTTTTTAGCCTTAGAATGTGGGATGATGTGTTGATGCAGACTTATTTTTTCTGTATAGTGGTGGTTTATCACATATGGGTATGTTTTGCAGGTGTGAGAGGATTGCTATTGTACTACAATCATGGTGCAAAAATACCAGTCACCAGTGAGGGTGTATAAACACCCCTTTGAATTAATTATGGCTGTAAGTACTGTACATTTCCATTTACTCTTTGGCTTCTTATTTTTTAAGTCTTAGAATCTGATGCTCTGTAAAACTTAACGTGCATTGTTTGTCCCCATTGCTTCACTTAGTCTGTTTACATGCTCATGAACTGTATTGTGTGTAAGATGTTTTTAAAACATAAGCCTCTGAAATTCTGCATATTTGTTTTATTTTATTTTATTTTATTTTATTATTTTTTTTTTAATATTTATTTTTAGTTTTCGGTGGACACAACATCTTTGTTTGTATGTGGTGCTGAGGATCGAACCCGGGCCACACGCATGCCAGGCGAGCGCGCTACCACTTGAGCCACATCCCCAGCCCCTGCATATTTGTTTTATAAAAACACCCCTCAGGATCATGTGTGAATTCGCGTTAATTCCCCCTTTAAAAATGCAGAAGTGGGATTCTGACTAAACACTTCCTATGAATTTTGTTCTGTTTTTCCTTTTTGGTTAAAGTAGCAGAGGGACGTGGCGTGTGGGTTCTTACCTGTGGGAGCGAGCTCTGGTTGTGGGTGACTGCAGATAGTCTCCGAGGAGCACTGGAAGGGGGCCTGCCTCGGCTCTCTGCTGCCTGGGCTTCCCACCTGACAGCAAATCTGTGACTCAGATTCCACAAATGAGATAACTGAAGTCTCATTTCTTGTTGTTATTTGCCTGAAAATTTGGCTAAAAATAAACATTTGATTGGACAGAAAAACTGTTCCAGGTACTTTTACGTTATGTGTAGTAATGCTCCTTGCCTTCTCTTTTGTGTTATTATAAGGGTATGATATACCTTCAGGAACACGTGATAGCTCCAGGAAAAGGCTCTCACTGTCACGCACATGCATCCCTAAGGAAGTGTCACACTGAACACACCAGGGTTCTGAAACCAGGGTCAGTGAGCCAAGTTGCACTTGTCTCCTTTGGGTCCCCCACACCTTCTCAAAGTGCTCCAGTACCCTGACTTCTAACACTGAAGGTGACTGGGCTGGGGATTTGCTCCAGTGACATGGCTCCTGCCTGTTATTCGCAAGGTCCTGAGTTCTATTGCCAGTTAGCACCCCCACCCTCAAAGTAGAAAGAAAAGTTCCAGTCTAAGGGATTAAGGGGAAGTTTTGTGGGTGTTTTATTGAGGTATAACTTACATATAGCAGATGGCTACATGTTAGCCACATAGTTTGATCAGTTTTTTTTTTTTTTAATTTTTTTGGGTTGTAGATGGACACAATACCTTGATTTTGTTTGTTTATTTTTATGTGGTGCTGAGGATCAAACCTGGTGCCTCACACATGCCAGGCAAGCGCTCTACCTCTGAGCCACAGCCGAGCCCCAGTTTGCTCGGTTTTTTTTTTAGATTGAAAGCATGCCTTTGTTTTATTTGTTTATTTTGATGTGGTGCTGAGAATCAAATCCAGTGCCTCACACATGCTAGGCAAATGCTCTGCCACTGGGCTACAGCCTCCGTCCTGGTCAGTTTTAAGATGGGCTGGGGATATAGCTCAGTTGGTAGGGTGCTTGCCTCGCAGGCACAAGGCCCTGGGTTCAATCCCCCGCACCACCACAAAAAAGAAAAAAGGAAGAAGACGAGTCACCCCCACCTCTGTCAAGACAGAGTATTTGCATCTGCTACCCCAACAAGTTCCTTGTGCTCCCTCTGTCAGGTGTGAGACTTCTGTGTGTATGGCTGTTTCTGAAAAACAGTTCTGTATTTCCCTTAAATATATCTGAGTGGCGCTGCCTAGTATCTGATGAATGACAGGACGTGTCTGAGAGGCTTTGCTGTCCGTCCGCGTCTCTCTTGCTGGTCTGGCTTTGGCTGTGTGGAGCAGAGGCCGCTCCAGCCAGCCTGAAAGGGAGTTCTGTTAGCAGCCACACTTGTGGGCTGTAGGAATCTCACAGACATTGAGGGTTTCCAGCTGGGACAGGCTGGAGCCTGGTGGTGGAGGGGGCTCTTGGCAGCTCTAGGGCCTAGGAGCAGTTGTCCCTGGAACTTCACCCCATGGGACCCCACCTTGCTCTATCTGCCAGAACTTTTTTGTCTCCCCACCAACTGGCTTCTTGCTCACTCTTTGCCCTTCCCTGTGGCTTCAGCTCAAGTGCTTTTCCAGTTGGCCAAAACCCTCTGGCTCCAGTTCCACTTTGTGGCATTTCTTGTTGAGTTCTTTTAGTTTCTAAGTGACCAGTTCTTGTCACATTTCCTAGTTCACGTTTTTGAAAGAAACTTTGATCTGGTCCACTTCTCTCCCTGCCCCCCCTCCCCCACCTGAACTACAAGCGATTGGCCAGCTCGCCTAGTGTCAGCCTTGGGTGGGATGCCTGACCCTGGCCAGTTCCTGAGCTGGTGGGGTGGGGGGAGGAGGTGTGGGGATAGTAGGGACCGAAAGGCCATGAGGAATGAAGCCGCATGTCTGCCCCACCAGGGAGGGGCTGTGGACAGGGCGTGTTGTTTTTTGGAGCCCGAAGTGTGATTTAAAAAGCGGTCTGCTGATCTCTTCTCCAAACACTAGATTTAATAAAGAGACTTTTTGTCTAATTTTCAAACTTCCTTATTTCCCTTACTTTACTATTTTCAAAATTGAGAAGTTTGCTTTGCAAATTTCATGCATGAATTTACAGAAGAATTCAAAAATCAAATTTGAATTTCTTAAAAATTAAGCCTTTGTAGATTGCTTTTGTTTTGAGTAGTTGTTAATTTCCTTTTGAGTTGTTAAAAAATATATATTGCTTTTCTCCTTCCTAAACCAGGATATTCGTTAAGTCATTAGGATTTTTGGTGCACTTGCCCCTTTTCTGACTGTAGTTGTGTGGCTTAACATCCTCAATATTCACTCATTTCGCTTTTTTTTCTCATTGAGGAAAAACAACTGTGATAAGAGGAAGCATTTGGGGTGAGGAAGAAGGGCTGCAGTCAAGGCAGGGACAGCACTGTAGCTCTCAGTGAAATATTTGTGAGAATCTCAAAAAGACGGTGCTTCAAAAATCACAGTGCACAGCAGAGTTCAAGGAGTGACAAGTGGGGTGGCATTCAGCAATAGGTGATTTTATTAGGGGTCCTAATTTATATGTGTCCCCATGGAGAGAAGGATTGGGAGAAAACAAACTTGCCCAACTTGAGCATGCGTTGGTTTGCTTTAACCAAGAGTTGAATTGTAGCTTAGGATTCATTGATAGAAAATGGTTCAGGTGGAAAGTTCCTATTGCAGATAGGTAACCAGCGGGGCCAGACATGTCCTTTGCATTTCAGTCAATTTAATGAAGACTTATCATTGTTTTGGGGTCAGCAGCATTGAAAAAAATCACATTAATGGTCTCATTAACTTTTTTTTTTTTGCAGTGCTGGGGATTGAACCTTGCATGGGCCACGCCAGCACTGTACCACTGAGCCATGTCTGTTCCCAGCCCTCCCTTAACACATTGGAATTAAAGTGTGGTGAGGAGGAGGTTCCTAGTAGGCATTTGCAGCACTTTGAAGTACTTTGTTAGATGTTAGCCCAGAAATGGACACTGGAGCCGAGATAGTGCTGCCCCTCCAGCTCTGGGGGAGGAATCCGAGATGCCACAGTGCAACCTGCAGTCAGTGGCAGAGATCTGATTCTTGAGTTTAGTGTTCTTTTTGTCACACTGTGCTTTTCCCTGCCCCCCAGTAATGTGTATCTGGAAACATCTTATGAAAGGTCTTGTCCATGAAGATGGCCTCAAATCTAGTGTCACCCAAACACATTTCCCAGGGCTACTCTCCTGGCACAGGGGAGGAGAAATGATCCGTGCAGATGCCCCAGCTGAGTGTGCCTGCAAGGATGTGGGGTCTCCCCCGGCACAGGATATGCCCCACAGATAGGAGCTTGGAAGGGGAAGCAGCAGGCTGAGGTGCTTGGGTTGGAGGTTTCCTGTGAACTGCCTAATGAGGCCTTTTCAAGTGCAGCCCCTCCCCAGGCTGGGGCCCCCTGGCTGACAAGTGGGAGGAGAGCAGGCCTGAGGGGCCACATTGGGTGGATCTGTTTTCCACCCAGGGCGCTGCACGTGACAAAAGGGGTGACAAAAGGGGCCCCCCCCCCGCTAGCTCCTGTGTGTCTAGGCACTCTTCTCCGCTGTCCCTGCCCTCCTGGGCCTTCCCTGTTGCCCAGGCAGCCTCGCCCCTCCCCTTCTCTCTCCCTCCCCATCTCAGTTCCCTCTTTTTTGGCAGTGCTGCTTTTCTCCCCAAACCCTTTTCTCCTCAGTGTACCCTCACAGGCACACTGTGTTAGTTGTGCCTTCAGGTCACACGGGTCTCTGTCCCTTTCTCTCCCAGCCACCAGCCTGCCTTCTAGTGGTCTGGGAGAGGTGAACAGACATGACTTGCTGGTTTTCCTCCTCCCATCTTTTAGCCCTTCGAGTCATCCTGCGTTCTCTTCCTCACACCTCCTGTTCTGTCAGTCCTCTACTGCAGGATCCCGCTGCCTGTCCCCTGCTTCAGAACCCCGTGGCTCTGTCTTTAAGGCTCTTTCTGCCTGTGTCCAGCCCTTCCTGTTTTGCCTATTTCACAAATTGTGCACACTTCCCAATTTGAACTTTTATTTTATTTGTTTATTTATTTTGGTCCTGGGGATCTAACTTGCATACAAGGCAAGCTCTCTACCAATGGAGCCCCAGCCCTAACTTACATTCTTTAATGTTCTGGTCTGCTTGAGAGCAGTGTCCTTCCTGCCCCTGCCCCTGCCCTGCCCTGCCCCTTTTCTTTGGCTCAGATGTTTGCCTTTCTCATCTGTCTTTGTAAATCTTTTTCATCTTGTCTTGCCTCTCCCCTGATGCCTCTCCAGGCCTGCCTCCTGTCTCTCCTCCCTCTCTTACATCTCCTCCCCTTTCCCCTTTTCTCCCACCTTCCCCTTTGCTGGGGATGGAACCCAGGGCCTCCTAGTGCTGAGCAAGCCCTCTACCACTGGGCTCCACCCCCAGCCCTGCTCCGTTGCCATATTACTTACTGTATTTGCTGTTCTTCTCAAAGGTCCTGAGTGT